CATGCACACACGCTCACATGCACACACGCTCACATGCACACACGCTCACATGCACACACACAAACTGTATATCATCCCCTGCGGTGCGCTGGACACATCGACAAACTACTGTTCAAGCCAAAAGGGATCTTTTCTCCCACAGCAGTAAAACACAGACACACAAAATGTCACAGACGCACTCACACATGTGTATCCACATAGCACGGCAATAAATGGACCACCTAGGGGAAGTTTGTGTGTATGTGTATGAGTGTGTGTGTATGCGTGTGTGTGTGCGTGTGTGTGCGTGTTTGTGTGTGTGTGTGTGTTTGTTTGTTTCACAGTGATGGTTAGCGAGGTAACGTATTAGAAGCTAGTTATTCTCCTCTGTGGTACTATAACTGCTGACACTCATACACACTCATACAAATACAGATTATGTGGAAGCAGCTGTTGCCTTCAGGTTTGTAAATTTACATGAATTTATGTAAATGTGAATTGTTGTGACCTGCCTGGGAAGAGTGATATCTGATCTTCTGTTTGATTTTTTTAAATTCTTTGGCCACACATGGCTCAGATCAGATACACTGAGGCGGAAATGAAACACACCGGAACGCTTTTGCAACAAAGGAACAGCATGTCCGGCTGACATTTTAAAAATCCAGGGAATTGTTTTAGTGCAGCAAAGTGTCTGTGCAGCTGTTTTACACTAAAAATGAAGAAAATAATGTATAATTTCTTTTTCTTGAACACCACCAAAAAATTCTGCAGCCCATAAAGTAAAGATGGGAATGTGTGGTAATGGTAATAAGTCACCTGCTGCTCCACACATTTATACAATGTGTTGTGGCTAGAAGTATGTCAGAAATAAACCAGGAACAATGTAAAATGAAATTTGAAAACACAACATTCAGATGAGGATCATTTTTAAAAGTAAATTTTAAATTGTAACTGTTCATTCATAATGGCGCCAAACAATTTCCCATTAGAATAGAGGTTGTAAGGTCACACGATGACCTGACGACATGATGTAAATGCAGCGTTTGTGTGCATCTGTTGGTTTCTGTTCTAACCTTGTACCAATGCTTCCTGCTTTAATCTCTAACCTCACCAGGGCAAGGCTGGACGGGATGGATACCCGGTAAATTTGATTTGTTATATATCCTGTCACTCTTCAGTTCACCCAATCATGGTCCTGTTCTCCCTTTAATTGCTTTTTTTCCTCTTGATTTACTCTGACTTTTCTCAAAGCTTCATCAGGCCTTTGTCTGCGTTAATTTCTTCTCTACTCTTCTGAAATAAATTACCTTTACTCTAATCGCTGCCTGTTATCTTGCCTCTTCAACCCTTGGTCAGTGATGTATCCTGCCCCATTACTGACATACAGTAGATTCTCCAGAGTGGTAATATGAGATTAAAGGTTTTTATTTCCTGCCAGTAGTTTAAAATATGACAACGCACTGACTCGAGGCAGAAAAAGGTGAAATGAAACATATGGTGCACTTAAAAACTAGAAAACATGAAAAGCAATAAACATTCAGGTGTAACCCTGTCGAGATATCATCAGTGAGCATAAACCACATGGGTATAAACCATGAACATGTGAAACATACGTCCACATCCCTCAGGGTTTCATAGTTAGAGGTAAATATGCACATTTAACTACTGAGTACAAAGCAAATCACTGACTTCCAGTGGCAGCCATGTTATCCAGAGATACAGCGGCCTCTAGTGGCCAGTTAGATTTCTGACTCTGGCTCTGCTCCTCATTTTTTTGCTTCCTCATCACCTGATACAACCTCATCCCCTTCAAGAGTTCAAACAACCGAATAGTGGCACACACAACACATGCAGCATTAGCGCGTGCAGGGTCTGCGTAACCCTCTGTCTAGCTACACTATGATCCTGCTGTCTGGTTGCCACGGCAGCCTGGTATAGACGCCTGATGTTGTGTCCATGCATGCGTTGTCTCGTTGTGACTTTTTTGGGGGAAGTAGAATCCCCATGGGGCTCTCTTTCCCAGTCAGATTCCCAGTCTGCCTGGCACTGCGCAGCCCTCCTGACGGGAAATGCCTGCTGCTAATTACACACAGGTGGAGCGAGCGCACACACACACACGTCTCTATATTTGTGTTTGTTTTTTTGTCACTGCATTAATTCTTGGAACATTTTAATGCCGTTGCGTTAAACTGCTAAAACATCTGTTTAATAAAGTTATATAATTCTACTTCTTTTCACAACGTAATCTAGATAATCCTTCCTCGTCCGGTTCGTGTAATGAAATCAGGCATTAGAGCTCTAGAAGTACAGAGATGAGACAATATTGCAACTGGAGCAGCTCTGCTTTGTGTAAGTGTTCAGTGTGAGAGGCAGCGTCCTGTTATGTTGCGTACGTATGGGTACGCCGACTCGTAGAGCTGCATGTATGAAGTTACAGAAAAACAACAGCAGATTAATCACAGTGACAATTTACACAGACGGCACGTTGTTTCATTTAGCAGCAACTAAGGTGATCAAGTTTGCAGCACTGAAGCCAGAAAGAAGGGTCGTTCTCACCAGTGTTTGTGTATCTGTGTCCATATGTGCAGATGTGTGTGAACTGCTGCCAGCCATGCATAGTTTATGTGCATCTCCGTAACAAAGGCCAGGACCGTGGATGTGTGTGATATGTTTTTTGCACCAATAACGTCTCTCACATGGAGAACAGGGCATGTGCACGTCAACACAAACGAGTCGAGTCAGTTTCCGCAGAGCACTGCGGCAAAGACTGTGTTGTGCCACTGACTCTTGCCAACAGCATTTGTTTCTTTAAACAAACAGAAAGATTTCCTGCCCTCTCTCACCCTTATTATGTGTCTGTGATTTAAATAGGAGCCAGACCTTTAACCCTCAGTAGGCTCAAGTTTTAATTTCGTAACTGGACTCATTAGCACACAGTTCAACAAATAGAAGTTGTTATATAAGCGGTGTGTGTGCATGCGTGCGTGCGTGTGTGTGTGTGTCTGCGCTAGGTAACCTCTTTAGGGCCTTTTCCAGCATTTTTAGGACCAGTAGACCCCATGAGGACCAAAGCCTGGTCGTGATGAGGTAAAACATCATTTCGGAGATTCTGGTTAAGTTCAGGGTTAAAATGTGAATCATGGTTTGGTTAAGGTTTTGGTTCGGCTGTCCACAATGAACTGAAGTCAATGCAAAGTTCGTGTCTATACTTGTACTTGTATCTTTGTGTGTATGGACCAGAGTGAGGATATTTTGGACACTCCTCAGTCTTTCAGGGTCAAAGGTTAGGATTTGCTTTTAGGGTTAAAATTAGGTAATGATTAGTGTTTGGTTATGGTGAGGGAATGCATTATTCATCAGTGTCCTGACTAAGATAGAAATACAAAAATGATTTTAGTGTGTGTGTGTGTGTGTGTGTGTGTGTGTGTGGCACACATGTCTCACAGACATTAAGTTCATCAGCCTAATACATGCAGCAACCACAGAAACATCAGTAATATGTTAAAAAGTGTTAATGAATGGTGTGTGTGTGTGTGGGTGTGTGTGCGTGTGCATGTGCGCTGATGTATGCTTTCTCTCCTTGTGTAACCCCTGTCACTTCTTCCTCTCATAAATCACAGGCGAAGGGTTTCAGTTTCAGAAAAGAGCCTTCCCGCTGTCAAACAATCAGAGTCAGACACACTGACAGAGCAGTGCCGAGGGGTAAACACACTCCCACACACACCAGTTGGTCCTCATTCATTTGTGCGATCACCGGCGTGCCCAGCCACTGGCCTGTTTACACGAGAGTGCCAGTCTGTGACAGACAGCGGACCTCGCTCAGCAGAAACAGGCCAAGCCCTCCATTGTTCAGCCTTCCAGGCTGCTGAGTGCAGATTAAAGCCAGACAGTCACCCAGCAACATGTCAGTAATTTTCTGTCCCAAAGTCTGGTATGCTTTATCCTGCTCTTTGGTTCTGGATGCAGCTTTTTTTTCCGGACAGAAAGTCTTATGTATCACAAATTGTGCTCCTGTAGTCCTGACATGGAGAAGAGTTTGGTCCCTTTAGCAACATGAAAATAAATAGAGAGGAGGATGTAACTGAAACATATTTCAAATTAGCATTTATGGATCACTGCAAGAGAGGAAACGATGATTTTAGAGGATGCAAGAAAGTAGAAACAGGAAAGAGGAAAGAGTCCTCTATTTTGACATCACCTAATTATGCTCATTCAGCCTAATGCGTGTGAGACATTACCATGTGTGCGTCTAGCTGAGACGTCTGTGCTGATGTGCAGACACTTTGCATCCTCAACAAATACACCCAACTGGATAATTACCAGTTAGCACCATAGGGAGTACAATAAAGACCCTCAAACTTTTTTTCATTGAGATTAACACACAAACACACGTGTGCAAGTGTCAGCATGCACATACATAAACACAGACAGAGACATATGCCCTCCTGCAGGCCAAGCTATTTTCCAGAAATGTGCTTAAAAGCCATGGGACTGCTGATTCAAGTCTTTTTGTTGTTGTTTTTATCTGCTGAGGAGCAAGATGGCGGTGAAGAGTAGAAATACACACAAAAACCACACAAACATAAAAAAGACTTTATTTTGTTTCCCCTCACATTCACTTGGTGTTTTTAATGGTTATCTCGGGGCTATTTACTCACTTTTTCTTAACATGACTCCCCCAAAAACAATTTCTCCCGCTCAATCCATTTCTGGTACGAGACAAAGAGATTTTCTGGGTCATTTCTGTTTTCTATTTTTATTTGCACTCATTTTCAACCATGCAGCTTCTCCTGTACTGTCTGTTTGAAACACAGAAAAGGTTCCGTTTAGAAATGTGCTTATACAGAAAGAAAAGCACGAAACAAAAAGGGCCACACATAAAATCCATATTTTATTTATATAAACCTTTATTCATATAAACCCCACTGACCCATAGCCCCGGGTTTCCATCAAAAGTTCTCTGGGATCTTTCAAAGAGCTTTGTGAACGGCCATATTGGTGATGTATCCCTCCAGGTATATAGCCTATTTTGTTCCCTATTGGACAGCAGAAGGTAAGTTAGGTCAGAGAAGTTATTTACTATATACTGCTTTATGCAAACTGTCAGCTGCCAAATACAAGATTTATGGTTTTATTGGCGACAATAAACTGGCTCTCACTGAGAGACCCACACATGTACATCTTCTCATAGCAAGACACACACACACACACACACACACACACACACACAGAGCAGAGGTACCTTCAGCTCACTGTGTGGCTTGTTAGCAGCCATAAATCAAGTCTTTTTTACTCAGCTTCAGATTCTGCAGCAGCCGATGACCTCACCATGTACACCTCGCCTACTCATCCCAATGAGTCTTGAAGGCGCAGAGCTCTGATAAACACCAGATGCAGATATATCACACATACACACACATACACACACACACACACACACACACACACACACACACCCACACACACCACAGAGTTTACCAGCATACATCAAGAGACATGGCAGGGAAAAGTCACGGGGACGTTTGCAGGCTTGTTCAAACTCATGCATGTATGACATGTTCAACACAGCGTGCTGCGTTTTAATAGAGACATGAACTGTAGCCTGTCTAATCTGTGTCCAGCATCTAATGAAAGAAATACCGAGCATTACGCCGTTACTCTTTACACTCCTCTCAGCGTCAGACAGTCGTGGTGAAATTATTGCCGTCCAATTGGTCCCAGTCATTTGTTCCACTGCAGTCTCTGCCACCTACTGCTGGTTTCACAAGGGGCCCTGAATCAAGAAGACATCAGGAGCCTCGGAGGCTTAACTGTATTTTTTTTTTTACAAAACACGTTTATAGAGACTGGCCACTTAAGTTTGTGATGAGAGTTTATGGCCATGCCGGCCCATTACGGGACTGAAGAGCCGCAGTAAACAATCACATGAGCACTTAATGAAAGCAGCGCCACATATCACTCCCTCCCCTGTTTTTCTCTTCTTCCTTTCATCCTCATGTGCCTACCGTCCATCCATCAAAGAGGGCAGCGATGACACCATGGTAGGTTTTCACAACAGGACCTTGGGCTAGATATTACCCATGGGCCTGGTAAAGCAGGTAGATGAAGAGAAGAGCCCACGTTATGTAAGATAAACAAGGCCAGAGATGACGGCTGAGAGTGATGGTTTCCAGTCCGCGGAGCCATCAGGACTGTGAAGGGCCCACAACTCAGGGGACCCTGTGAAAACTGTTAGCTTAACATGGAGCATGGTCGTTAAGTAGGGAGTCAACTTCAGCCTTTATTACATACATCAGACTGAAGTGTTTTTGGAAGGTTTTATCCAGCGGCTCCTTAACGTTGAAGTCAACATCTAAAGGTCTGAGCCTTTGAACTGAGCATCGCTCTGCACAGGAAGTTCAATGACCACGCGGCTGTTTTCATTGAGGTAAACACAGCGGACAAGTTGAACTGCTGTTGTCGGCACTCGGGCGAGGGCGGATAAGGGAGATAATAAACTGCTGGTTGGATAATGTCACCACCACAAAGATCGTGTGTCAGATTAATACAGCTGGAGCAAATCCACCCACAGCTCATCAAGATAGACACCACACACTAAATCTCCAAATAATTATCAGACAACCACCTGGAAACATCTGAGTATTATCACAGTTTAATGAGGCCGGACTTTCTTCCCTTTTTCTACTTTTTATCTTCAACTTTAATCATCTCAGCTGTTTCTTCTCTGTTGTTAACAGACTTTTTTTGCTCTTCATAGATTTGTTTTTCTGATTCTACTTAATCTAAGATCGTTTAATATTGTCTCATTGTCACAGAATCCAAACTCAGACATTATGAATTACTAATAAATAACAGCTGCTTTATGACATTTTGGAAGGAAATTATGAATCATTTTATCTATTCACAACCGTAGACTACAGTCACTGAAGGAGAAGTTTTACAGTTGTTCGAGACACTGACTTTCTTGATGAGAGTTAGTCTCCTCTTCTGTCTCTCAGCAATAATATGAATTAGCATATTTCCCAAAACTAAAGCTCTCCCTTTGATAATTCTGTTTTGATATTACTCATAAAACTTTGTGTGTTAGTCTTTTTATAATTTTGTTTTCTCTGCCTTTTGACAGGGTCCACTTGGCTTGGATGGCAAACCAGTGAGTATTCCCATATTCCCATGCACACGTATGTAAAACATGCTTTACTTAAATTTAATTGTAATTCTGTTTTTTTTCCTCCTCTCAGGGTTTACCGGGTCCTAAAGGAAGCCAGGTACCCTGTCACACACCCGCTGCTTTGTTTTTAGTTTTCTAGCAAATCATGCACAGATATTGTTTAACTGTGAATTCAGGGGGCAGATTTGGCCTTTGATACAGGTGAAAGTTTGAAAACCTTGTCAATCATTTTTACTGCTCCAATGGGAACATCTCAAGTGAGTGAAGCGTCTGTGGTAGCCATCTTGTGTCTTGTTCCACCTCTTAACTCTTTCCATGGCTCAAGGCCACGGGGGAGTCATGGTTCAGCTGAATCGAGTGCTGAAATCCCCTTCGTGCTTCTCCTCGTAGTCCCATCTATCAAGTTTCCCCCCGAAACCCCGCCCAGACACACCCAGGTGTAGCGTGGAGAGCAGAGAGTAGAGCAAGTGCGTTACACAGCGGTGAGAAAAGAGTTTATAACCTTCAGCAGAGGCTCTTTAAAAAGTCATTATAGTAACCTTCACCCCCTCCTCCAGCCTGATGAGAGGGCGACTCATCATCTGCTGAAATGTAAACCTCTCACAGCATAATGAGAGCTGTTTGAATAGCTCCTCTCCAAACACCATTAGGCTGCTGTTTCCTGCTTAAGGAGAACTCAAGCTGGGTCGCTCCTTTAAGAGGATTCTCCCCTTCACCAAGGGTCCGCAGTAAAAACCACAGCAGGTGTGTTACAGACCTCAGGACGACGGTCGAGAGGGAGACGATAACAAGAGGAAAAGTGGAAAAACAGTCAGACTGATTTGTTGCTAGATGACAGAGAATGAAATATTTTGAAGCAAGACTGAAGAGAAACTGAAGTTTAACCACAGGTTTACAATAAACTAAGAAAATAAGAGATGAGATGAGGGTTTTTGATTAAAATAACACAAACAAAACTTAATTCTGATTTTTCAGATGCTTCATTATTGGATAAGAATAGCTGAATTGTCATGAAGATAGTTTCCATGATCATTAATTACCTTCCAAGGTGAACAATCTATCATTAATGATTTTAACTATACATTACATGATACCTACTGCAACATGTTCTGACCTTAATTATATAATTATGATATTAATTCCATATCTTAGAAATACCAATCTTAGCCATAAATCCTCCAACTGAAAGTAAACCTGATGAGTGTATAAAACATTAAAGATAAACTTTTATTTTACAAACCACCACCATGGCCCAACACTAAATATCAGTCTCCTAAATTTTTGTCTTAAAGAACCGTGAATAATTCCTCAGGAAATTGTATCTCACAAAATTAAAGTAAGTGGAAAAATTCCTGGATCCACCCGATTGTCCGGATCTGGGCCAAAATGTGATATTTTCTTTCCATGCCCTTATTCCTCTCTTCCACTACATATCATGGAGCTGAAAAAGAACAAACAACCCTAACAATCAAACAGTGGCGGAAACATAACCTCCTTGGCAGAGGGTTAGGGTAGAATCAAAATAAAACATTTACATTTTGAAACTCATCCAGAACATTTAGCTTCCTTCTACTTTGAGTAGCTTTATGGTTGGAAAAATCATCTCACTTTACACTGTGATTTATACCAAACACGTAACTTCAAGTTTCATGTCAGTTGTTCTGGCTTTTCTCAAATTTCCGCACCATTCCTACACCTTTTGCATTATTTAATACAAATGTCCCTGAATTTAGTTCATCAGTATTTGTGTTTTTGTAAACTTGGCTTTAGAATTTGAATTAAAGTTCTGCATGTTTGAATAGCATCACTGGAAGTATTTAGAAAGGCTGATATGAAACAGAAGTATGAACTGAAAACAAATCCTTTATAATAATTCCACACCTACGACTTAAATGAAACCTTGCTGCTTCTCCAGCTCTTCTCCTTCTTCCTGAAGCAGGAGATAAGCTACATGCATGTCATCATATGACCAGTCACATTATCAAACCGCCCATCCTCTCCACTGATCTTCAGCGTTGTTCTCCTGGTACTATTAGATCTCCGCTGCAGAGAAACGTCTGCTACACAGAGAAGAGCGCAGAAGACATGAGGAAAGGAGGAACGAATTAGAGGCTTCAAGGCAGATTCAGTGTCATGTGTGGAGACAGGAACTGATTAAAGTCAGGCAAAGGGGACGAGTTTGTGAACTGTGGTGAAAGAACAAGTTGTTTCGAGAATAGAGACATGAAGAAGTTTCATATAAAAGGAGACTATGGGCTAGAAGAGGTGAGATCTGACCACTTGTCACTTTTAGAGGATCTATGGCTGAGGACATAGTGGCAGGTTTTCACAGTCTTCTCTCTCTGTCTCTCAGTCACAGAGGCCTGTAGTCAGTCAGTTTGTGGTGCCGCCACATTAGTCGTCATTTTTCCACTTGTCAGCAGTGGACAGGCTGGGACGGGCTGACAGAGAGACAGACAAGGGCACAGCTCAGCCAGACTGGCAGGAATAAGTTCATCTACGGGCCTGGTGTCCAGAAGACAATATCAATACAAAGGGTGACTGCAGCAGTGTCTCACATATGCACAGGACTGTTTTGAGACCCCATGTTTTTAGTTAGTCTCCAGCATTCCACGTCTAAAACATCTTCAGAGTTCTCCTCAGAGAGAAAGACTGGAGAACAAACAAAGGAACATTTGGCCCTTTCAGTTTCATCTCTCAGAAAAATAGTTTTTATTTCTAAAAGTGAAATCTTAAAAATAGCTTAAGCTCCAGCCATAGGCTCTTATTTTGAAACATGCTCAGACCAAAGTGACTTCTGATTGAGCAGTCTCGCTGGTACGGCTGCATTGAGTGGTATGAAGGCCTTTCCTCGCCGTTTGAACGCTCCCAGCTCGAGGCCAGCTGAAGATGTATTGCTCTGTGGTGTATGTTGCTCATGTGATGACTGATGTATCTTGACCAACTGCATTTGATTTTCTACCCCTCCCACAGGGACCAGCCGGCCCCAAGGGAGAAAAGGTATGTTCATGGATTTCACCAACCCTTCCAGACAAGACAGTGGTGTGTGTATGTGTGTGTGTGTGGATGTGTTCACACAGAAGGATCCAGAAAGACACAAATGCAAGCGCGCACAATAAAAACGCGTAACCTTGCAGGTGTTCTCACCATCGCCCTCCCACGTTCACTGCTTTCACCGCGCCCCCGTCAAACGAGCCATAGATTACATGTAGTTATGTAGGAGCTCATATGTCTCCACACATTCTCACATCAAGGCACTAAACAGGTTAACGGGCCTTTCCGCGGGGCTCTATGATAGCCAGATGTTTTCCCGCTCTGTGAACCTCCGGCCAGCCAAAGATGTGAGTGAATCGAAAGAGCTGCAGGAGCTCACAGAGGAGGCTTGTGTCTATGATCGCTTATCCACACACAGATAAGTAACTTAATGTGCCTGAGTGTGTAAGTGTGCATTGTTGCACTCAAGCGAAAATTGTCCCGATAAGCGCGACCACAAGAGCAACACAACCGCAGCAAATGGTATCTGTCAGAGCGGGACTCAGGCTGATGAGTGGGGATTGCAAATGACAGATGATGCTGAGGTTTTGGAAAATTGGCCCTCTTCGTGTAATCATGCTTTGGTGCTGTGATGAGAACACAGGCTCCAAATCCTCATCAGAGCCGCATCAATCCCCAGTACACGCACTCCCACTTTCACTTAACCAATCACATCCCATCAGATGATTCCAGTTGAGGCCTATCAAATGATTTACACAGTGAATGTCAACATCCTGAGCTGGTATGGGGACAGATGACCTTTAAGTCACTCCTTCCTGTACAAAAGAATTAGTTTTTAAGCCTGTCCGACACGTTGCTTCTGCAGTAACAGTCTTCTATGGCATGACTGGTCCTGTGTGCATATACAGTGCTAATAGCTGCTGACAATTGTTACTTTCCTGTTTTTCTCCCAGGGTGACCAGGGAGACATTGGGCCACGGGTAAGTCTTGTTTTTTTTCTTTGCCTGAGAAAGTTAATGACATTGTTTTGATTATTGCATGCAAGATTTTTCTCTACAGCTGACGTGGATGAAGAGACATTTCCTTTTAATTTTGTGTTGTTCCTCCAGCAAAGCTTGGCAACTTGAAAATGAACTTTGATTCCAGCTTTCCCTCCAGTTTTATCCTCTTCCTCTTGTTTTGTCGTTTTCTTAATATGAAAAATAATAGTGCAATGGTGTTTCCTTTAAAAAACACTAGTCCCTGTTCTAAACATGCCTGTTTGGAATGGGCTGGATGCAGCTTTGTTTTTGGAACTGTAAAAGTGACCTGCAAATGAGTGTGCCCATGACAGGCACCTCCTTATAATTGTTTTATTAGACCATGAAGGCCAAATGGAAATGAGATGGTCTGGTTCACGGAGGGTTTCTTACTTGTGTCACCAGCTTTTCACGCTACTACTGGTGCATTGTTTGCGAATTTAAACAGCTGTACTTGCTGGAGCTCAGCCACCAAAATAACTAGCTCATTAGCTTCATCTTTAGCACACAATGAATCCTGGGATGGGTCGGCCCGCAAAGGATCCATCTGTTGGATCCTTTGATGATTGGGAAAGAAGGGAATGGGGCATTTGTCAACCAGATTTGAAGGAGTCTTTGATAGTTGAGCCGCTACGATCCGAGCATGCGGCCCCTGAATTGAGACACAGCTAATGATAATGCAAACACCAATACAGTAGAATAAATACATACTATACTACATCTGCGACAGATCAGTGTAAGGCAAGGCAAGTCTTTTTATTTAGCACCATTAAAACACAAGCAGAGGCTTGTAAAAACATAAAAAAGAGGCAAAAAGCGACATTGAGAAGATAATAAAATACGAATTTAAGGACAATAAAAACAGGGAAAACGAAAATGGACATGGTATTTAAAAGACAATAATACCAAAACAAGTAATTAAACATTAGAAAGAGATCCAATCTGTAATTGGTAAGCTTCTTGTGTTTGAGGGCCAGATTTGAGTGAGCTGAAAGTACCAGTCCTCAGTTATTCAGGAAGCTGGTTCTGCAGGTGCTGAGCATACAAACTAAAGGCTGCTTGGTTTTAAAACTGGGAACACTGAGTAAACCTTTCCGAGCCGACCTGAGGAGTCTGGATGCTTTGTAGCGCACAAATAATTCTGAGATCTCTTTAGACCTGAGAACATTTCGTGTTTATAGACTGTAGGATTTTAAAGTCTGGTCTTTGACACACAGGAAGCCAGTGCAGTGATTTAAGGACCAATGTAATGTGCCCCACTTTCCTGGTGTTATTGAGGACTCTGGCAGCAGCCTACAGGATGAGCTGCAGCTGTGATTTTTTTTACGAAGATCTGTGAAGATGCAGTTTCAATAGTCATTAACCCACTGAAAACAGGGGGGACACTTTTATATATCTCTTGATTACACATACATTTTTATATTTTAAGGTGATGATGGCAGATTTTTATTTGAACAGCCTGAAAAGTGCAGGGATCATATTCCAATTTCACAGAGAAAGGGAAAGATCATGAGATTCAGTGACTCAAAGAGATTCAGAGACTCAAAGAGATTCAGAGACTCATCACAAATTGTACAACAAAGCCCAGGAAGACACTTTCATTTTTAGTATTTAAAAAATATCTGAAAAAACATTTTAGTGTTATCACACTGTCGGAATAACGTGTATATGCACGGAGATAAAAATTATAAAACATTGATCACAGATTTTTTTTTTTTTTGCTCTGTGCACATAACGTTCAAAAATCGAGACCTTTTTACGTACATACTAAGTATGGTGGGTTTATCCCGTGTACCCTCCCCCAGCAACAGCTCCAACAGCTCCAGAGCCAGAGATGAGAATGATGATGTTTCACGATGATGAAAATACTTCATCCTCACCATCAAAACTCAACAGTTGAGGCAGTGCCAATAACTGCCATCTCCTTTCAACCAGTGTTGTTTTTACATTACACCATAACTTCACTCTGCATCTGGTCCATGTTCTCCGTGTTGTCTTTTTATGTGATATCATTCCAGCCACCATGAGATCTATATAATTATCTGCTGCTTCATTCACTGTGGTTTGAAAAAAATCCCCCTGTGCTTTACAATGTGAACGGCTCAGATTCTTTGAAGGAGTCACGTACACCATAAATCCCGAATGTTTTTCTCAGTTTGTTATGTTTAGAATAAAATATCAGGTCAGGATCACAGTAGTAAATTTTCTCTATGTAATTATATTTCTGAGACCCTGAAATAATCAGCTCAGTAAGAATACAGTTTATAGCTCAGTAAGAATACAGTTTATTCAATCGATTAAATGATTCAATTAAGAAAAGAATCATTGCATCTCTACATGAAAAGTTGTAAATTCACCATTGATGTATTTTTGCATGGCTTGGACGTACATTTAACGATACGCATGGTGCACATCTAGATGTGTTCACTGGTCCAGGTCCAGACCAGCCCCCTCCACAGCCCTATAAGGAAAAGCAGTATAGCGGATGGATGGATGGAAGATTTTTGATCTAGCAAAACTGCTTATAATCTGCAAAATAATCATATTTTTAAATGAACAAAATAGCTCATTTGTAGTACATAAATAAAAAATAAGTGTTGGCTTGTAATTTTTATTTGGCTTTCCTTTTAGTTTGAAACCCCAGACTGTCAAACACTTTCAAAATACTAACACATACCATATTTATAAAAACTACAGACGAACACTCCTTCTGTAGCCACTTAATTCTGGCCTTTATTATTTCAGTATTCTTTAGCGTGTACCCTTCAAAAGACAAGATTTAGTATAATAATTAGAAATAGATGTTTTGTTATACATCTTCTGAGAGTCTGACATAAACAGAGTGTGTAAGTGAAATGGAATGAGTGGCTATTGTTTTACAGCGGAGCATAAATTGAGAGCAAATCTAACAGGGCTGCCCAGCAGAACAATATTAATGGTGCGGTTCAGAAACATTAAAGGGAATTCCTGATTCCCATCAAGGCCTGAGCCAGATGATTTCTGTGCCTCAATTCTTATAGATTTCAAGAATAAAATATTTTTGGCATTCTGCATTACATACTGTATTTCTTCCAAATGGTAAATATTGTACTTGGTCAAGGCCTCAGCAGCTTTGATCTCTTTGAGGTCTGCAGCCCAAACTTTGTTCAAGTGTTAAAAAAAACTACTAAGTGTATCACTCAGAGACATAGATTTGTTCCAAACAAACTTCGCAGCTCCTACAACTACTGTTTTCATGAATGACCTTCAGGGTACACTTGGCAAAATTAGATTTTAGCAAATGAAAAACTGCTGGTCTATGAGTATGTAATTAACAGCTCAAGGTCCACTGAAGTTGAGCAGATAAAAGGTGCTGCAGAGGGGGTTTGGAGTTATCGTTCCTATACGTAATCTCAGTCGTCACCTTGCCTTGAACATCGTACGCTGTTTCAACTCTGAACTCCACAAGAACATAACAGAATACATGTGAAAACAGGAAGTGGCCATGAATCTCTGTCAACCTGTGACTTCCTGTCAATCCATCATTTCCAGGGTCTTTGTCTGGCTGAGTCTAATTCCAGAGCTGATTGGGCAACATGGGGCATTAAAATACAATCAGATATTATGGTGCCACCAAAAACCTGTGACAAAAGCTCATGTGTACTGTTGTATCTTTCTCTTACGCAACTTCGATTAAAAGCCATAAAACTGGCAGCCATTTTTCCCCAACCTCCATACTGTCAAATCCATATAGAGGAGACTGTGTGTTTAGGTTTGCCTGGAAGCTGTGTTGAAAGACAAGTCATGATGGGAGTTTCATCTCAAGCCAAGTCTCCCTTTGCCTCCCCTAGAGCAGCTACAAATAGACCATGGTTAGACAGGGCTCTGAGGTTGAATGGCTGTTTGTCTTAGTATCAGCCTATAAGGTCTGATGAGAATGAGGTAAAGCGGAAGCCCACAGTCAAACGGACTATTCTCCTTCGACATGTTTAAGGAGCATATGTGTATGTGGTCTCCATGGTGAAAACAGTGGGAATGAGTGAATGTGACAGTAGAGAGAGAGGAGTGTATAGGCAAGGAGAGGAGGAGGAGGCATTTGCGGTGTAGGAAAACCCTCAGATATCCAGCGTTCTCCGCAGCCTGTTAACGGAAACCAGCATCTCCTCTTCATTCTCTCCCTACTGTGTCACCCAGCCACACACCCCCCGACCCCCCTTCACACACCCACACACACCCACATACCACACCCATGCCTCCTCTTCAGATCTCCTCTCTATCCTGTCTCTCCGTCTCCATCCTTCCATGTGTTTTCGGAGGGAACTCAACCAGTGAGGCAGCACAGTGCTCCAAGCTCTCTGGTGGCAAACAAACTCTGCTCCTTTCAGCTTGACAGACAAACATCACACTCGCTGTCAGTCGGCTGGAAAGACCCAAGCCACACACACACACACACACACACACACACACACACCGGATACAAAGGGGATTTACTGCATCTCACTTTTTAGTTTTTTTTATATTATATCTCACTATTTGCAGATGATGTGTTTCTGTTCTGTGCATTTGTTCTTCAGAATTTGTAAATGCCTCTTTCCAATATTTAGCTTTCAGGCATGCACTAAACTCCACTGAACACAGATCCTACGGACTCTCTCTGCAAGGGCTGTATGTGTGAACGCAAATGTCCGAGTAAGAGGCTCCAGACTTTTTCCATATGGTCCCCAAAAGTCGGCAGAAAGTCTGGCAGAGCGGATGTGAGAACACAGCAGGAGATCCCCCGCAGGATTCACTGCGAGCAAGTGGGCGTGTTGATGATATTTCTAGCACGCAACAGTAGAATACTGAAAGAAAACATATCTCAGGGTGAAAAAGCGATGCTATATATGTAGAAGTAACAAAGCCGTCAAGAGATTTTGTGGTGATAAGAGCCGATGTCAACATGCTGTAAACAAAAACATGATCTTTGCAGCGGAATTAATACGTTACATCAATACATCCTGCCTCCGCCCTTCACCTGATTTGTTGCTGTTGTGATTGTGTCTGAGGGGAGAATCTCCTGCTGCGTTGTGGGTGCCTGAAAGGAATCATCTGGAGAAAGTCCAGACCCGATTCTCTGGAGTTTCTCTTCAAAGGTCATGTCTGAAAACAGTTTTGGTTTACTAAGTTGCTTAAATGTCCCTTTGTGACTCCTCTTTTCAGGGCCCCCCTAACTATGGCTCATATGCAGGTCTGCACAGTAATCAGATTCTCACTGTCAAGGTTTGTCCCTTCCAGCAAACGTACCCTTATCCTCCCAGCAGCCACGGCTCTCTGTCAGGCTGCTGATCTGTCACTATTCCTTCAGCCAGAGGAGCAAAACATTTCTTCTCACGCTTCTTCTTTTGGCTTACAGCTTCAGGGGCTGCTAAACGCTCATCTGTTTTTCCCTGCAGAAGTTCTCTTGTTCTTCTTGTTGTTTCTCTCCCTTCTGGACTCTCTTGTTTAAAAAATGGACTTCAGATTTTCTTATTCATTTATGTCCTTCTCCTTTCCCTTTTATTTCCACCCTAACTTCTGCCCGTGCTCTTTCCATCTACTCTGTCTTCCTCTTTGTCTTTACTGCTCCATCCTCAGATGGTCTTTCCCCGTTATGACCACGGCTTTCTCTCTGGAGAGCAGTCGGGCAGCTTTCAGAGACGCTTCCTGAAGGTAGACCACCACTAAGGCATGTGTGCGTTTTTTTAACACTTTAATCAACCTTTGTCACTCAAGCTCTGCTCAGCCGTGCATCCCCTCCCTTCCTCACTCTTTCACCTTTTTCAGTCAAACCACATTTGACCTTTGTTTCTTAATTTTCCTGTGTGTGCCTGCTTTTTTAACTGTATGAACACATGTGGTAAGGTCAAATTGTTTGTATAAAAGGTGTAGAGCAAAAAAACGTCTTGGGTGATGAACCACACACAGACAGACTCAAGGAAAGTGTGCTTCATATTAGAGGGAGAATAGAAGACGTTTGTTCATGACAGTTGGGTTCAGACCTTACATTGTAATTATCTGTTAGGAAATCATGTTTTGTTCTGCTGTAAGTGCTTAACACCATTTTCATGAGCGTGCTAGCAATACCATGTTCCTTGCAACAAAACAAGCCATAATGCACCACATATCAGTAAGAGATGAGTGGGTGCAGAGAAAATATTGTCATGTGACTTGTGAGAAAACACTGGTCCTCCATCTACTTCGGTGGTGAGAAAGACTTTGAGGCACTGAAGGTTTCTGTTTGGCATAAACATGAGGGTGGAAGTCATCAGAAAGAGACGTGTCCCCCTCAGTGATTAACGGTTCAGGGACAAGTGGCAAATGAAGCAGATGTAGATGTACAGCAAGTTTCTGCTGCCCTCAAGTGGTCAAAAAATCAATAACTGCAGACATAAGGAATATGTATTATAAGCTGCAAGATCTTTCACCCATTGCATGATTGTCAGAGTTTCTGCAAATTTCTCAACATGTGATGATACAGATAAACATAATGTTGGCAATAAAACACAAATAACTATAGTCTGATAGTCTTCTTTCTTGGGTTTTTCCATTACTCATTTTTCTGTGTTTTGTTTTATTTTTCATCAGGGTGACCAGGGCCAGGCAGGACCCGCTGGTCCTCCTGGTCCCCCAGGTCCTCCAGGTCCCAGAGGCCCCCCTGGGAACACAGGCAAGGACGGGCCCCGTGGTCCTGCTGGGGAGCCGGTAAGAGCTTCTCCTCATGTATCAAAGTGCCAAATGTACACTCAAAACTATGCCAAACAATGCACCCATACACACCCATGTACTCCACTCAGTTGCTGTTATTCTCCTCCTTCATCACTCACCCCCTTTCCCTCAGCCTCTAACTAAGGTTTCACCGCAAAGAATGCAGTCACTTAAAACACCTCAGTCATCAGGGGCTGTGTTGCTCCAAATGTGTTGACCTGGTACGGTTCAACCGCAGGGTGTGACATATCGCAAATTGTGTTACTGTATGTGTGTGTATGCTGTGTGTGCACGTGCATTTATACACATGTATTAAAAGGGGAACAGGGTCCACAGTAAATCGCAGTGAACCCATATTCTCATTCTTCCGGGTTTGCCAGTGAGCTGTGGTTTACCTAAAAACTCCCAGAATAGCAACTCTACCCCTGCCCTCATCTGTTTTGTGTAAGACAGCGGCCACAAAGTTCTCCAACACGCCCCCATTCTCCCACCCTCCCACCAGGACCGTGTCGCTGTGGACCCCTGAAAACAGATATGGCACTGTGGCGAGTTCATGGGCAGCTTGCCAGTCTCACCAAACAATAGCTGTGTCCTTGCCTGAGGCAGTTTATGTTTCTCAAAATTAAGTTTGCTTCCCAGAGGTTAGTTCATATGCAATCTCAGCTTTATGCTGTGGTTGCAAGATGGAAGAGAGGGAAGGAGACTATGAAGGTAATTTTTGTTTATCCAAGTGAAGGAATGAATGCTCTTACCCTCAACTGTCACAGGACAGCAAAGAGATTCAAGTGAAAAATGTTGGTTTTAGTGTGGGTGGGTTAGAACTTAAAGCTGACAAGCGAGAAAGCCAGTGCAGCTCAGAAAATGACAGAAAACAGACGAAAGAAAAGGGGAGGGGGCTGTCCTGTGACCTCGTCAATTTCAAATGTGTTCTCCAAGCTGATTAAAGGCATTGCAAAACCCAAAACAGCTAAACAAGGCAGTGTGGTGCTAAGAGCTGCTCCATGTTGTGTGCAGATGTCTTAATGTAGGAAAGACTGAGCAGCAGAAACTTAGCAATCCTTCCAGTGCGGGTGTCCATGAACACATTATCATTTCAGTCTGACGTGTGGCGTCATGAAACTGCCGTGGTGGATGTTTGATATTTTGGAAACGTATCTGTCATCTGAACACAGATGACAAATGAAAGAAAAATACTGTTGTTGAGCTTTTGAAATCTTCTCAAGGGATGTGCACCATTCGTCCATAAGGTCTTGTTTGTGTTGATGATGTTGTGAAAAGAATCCAGTCCATGCATTAAATATATAGTCTCCTTAGGGGGGCAATGGATCATTGTATTGTCTTTCGCTTACAGATGTAAATGGACGTTGATGAATGTGATCTTTTTGTCCGATAGCAGATGTTGTCTAAACTTTACTAATGTTTGCTCACGCTGTTGTCACATTTAATTAGCACGTACAATGCAGGTCAGTGCAACTAAGACTCAACTTGTTCCTTTATCCAACTCGTAGGATTAAACTGAACAAGGAAATCGAGAGACAGAGACAGCTCGTCTTGAAAGCAGAAGTTTCGGGTTGTGATGCACGTTGGCTGCAGACGGTCTGCAAACTGAGAAAACATTTCCCTGTTATTGGATTAAAAAGTATTCACGGTATTCAGTTGGTTACAATATACAACTTCATCACTAGATGCCCCTACATCCTACACACTGAGCGTTAAAGGAGGTTAAAACTAAATAACTAAAGAGCCTAAATAGTGAATATAATAACTGATTAACAATAATAATTTGAACCCTTTTCCCACAACTTACTGTGAGTAAACCACAAATGGGCCTGAACACTGCATTTCAGTTGTTGAAATTAGGCAATATCCCCCCTAAAGTGGTATTTTTCAATATACAACCAAAACAACTGCAGAGGAATAGTACTTTGTGCATGGAATAGAATCCAACACATCACTCATAGTTATTCGTCTGGTGTGGTGAGTGTAATAGGCTATGGCATATTATGTCATATTATTTTCACACTCATTAAATCATTCAGTGAGCCCTTGTATCCTGTATGCCTCTGCATCCAGTTTCTCCACTTGTTTATTTAAGTTTTGTCCTTTTAATTATCATCTGTTTGTATGAATGAGCACTTCAGGAACCAAAAGTCCATGGACTGGCCATTCCTCATCAAACACTGCCACTTAGTGGCCATTTTTTTAACTCTTTGATCGACCCGCACCATAACTAAATGTCTCCTCTGTCCTCCTCAGGGTTTTCCAGGTCGGGATGGTGTTGAGGTGAGTGTAGTTCAAATCCAATTTTTAGTGGTGAGTAAAAGTATAAGTAAAAGTATGTGATTTGTCTTCCTCTCTTATAACAAAATAATCTATTTCTGCCACAGGGATCACAGGGGTTGCCTGGGAAGCCGGTAAGATCATGTGTGGATGATCACAATCACCTCATTTCAACTTAGTAGTCTTTGTTTCGGTTTTCCTTCTCTCTTGTCATCCTCTGTCAAATGTGACCAAAAGTTTGAAGTTTTGATATTTGTGCTCTAACAGGGAGAAGATGGTGAGCCTGGCTATCAAGGGCCACAGGGTCCCCCAGGAATGAAGGTACAGAAAAGCTTTACCCATCAGTTGTCATGTCTCAGACATTAAATGTGGCCTTGTCTTTACATGCATTTGACCTTGAATGTTCATTGTGTATTGAAAAGGGCGAGCCAGGTGTAGCAGAAAAGGGAGAGAGAGGTATGGATGGACTCCCAGGATTAAAGGTATGGGACATTTTGAAATTTGAATCTAATATTTTTTTACTCTAAATCAAAAATGTAAAATTTTACCATAAAATTGACTTTTGCGTCACACAGGGTGACAGAGGGGAGGTAGGACCAGAGGGACCCATGGTATGTATATCAGTCAATCATGTAGCCCTCTCTAAGCATTATTCTATCAAACACATTATGAATATTTTATCATGTTTATGTCAAGCTCATTCATTTATTCCCTCTCTGTCTCAGGGTTATCCTGGTGAAAAAGGCAACACAGGTTCCTCAGACATCATTGACTTCAACGGGAAGCTTCTAGATGCTTTCCAGGTAAGAACTTTTCACATTGCTCAAACAAACTCCTTCGGGCGTTTATTATCTCAACTTTAATAAAAACTGTTGTTGTGTTGTCACAAACGTGTCAGTTTTTTTTCTGAAACTGCAAAACTCAACATGTCGCCGTTTCTCCTTGACAGGCCATCGACACCATCAGCATTTCGGTAATCCGCTGTTGTCACTGCACGGTTTTGGTTGTGTGATCAGTAACTAACGCACATAATAATGCATAGACCCACACTGCCTTGTTTATGTAGATTAGTTATCCAACAGTACAGACTTTGTAAACAGATGTATTGGATGTCACTCTAGAGGTCATATAGAGAGTTTTGCTAAATGTGCCTAGTTTACTAGTCTAGAGTTTTCAGCCCTCAGGCCCCAAAGTAAAAATGCCAGAGATTTGGGCCCCTTATTATCCCATAGGATATTGATTGAAGCAAGTTACCACTCGATTGGTAATCTGAATCTTCCATGCTCGCCTCATTGGTAAAGACAAAGAAAATCAGAGAGCTGGTGACATATTTTATTATTTTGTAATAGTTTCCACTAAAATAGGCTATTTTTATTGTTTAATTAAAAATGTATGCTCATCACTGTTCTCATCTGCCACACTCACTTTTTTATTCACTTGGGATAAAAGTTATAGCCCCAGCAGCTGTTGTATTCTGTGAGATAACACATAGCCTAAAGGAGCATGCTTAATCATGCAGAAGAGTCAACCGCCATTGTCACACTGTTGTGAGTGTGCTCTCATGCTGTGTGCCCAGCGTGTCTCACAATATACATGGCTGTGACTTGCTATAGGTCAGCATGGTTTATTCTGTCTGTGTATTTGTGCTGTTCCACATTACTCAGGTGTTGCACAAGGGGAATGCATTAAAACGTACCCCACAGTCGCCACAGTCTCAGTTTCACATGTCTGTCTTTATACACAAGAACCTTTGATTCCACCATGTACTCTTTGCTACATGCAAAGAGATGGCTATCTCTGCTGTGGAGTGTGAATTTGATTTAAAAACACTCTGAACCAGCTCCCTTTGGACCTGCTCTGAAATACGCTCCTGTCTGCAACGCTGCAGACAGCAGTGTGTTACAAAGGCATGAAAACACGAACCTGAGATTTTATCAGAAGTCTCTTGTCGGCGTGGATCAGCTGCCTCCGAATCACACACCAGTTCTCCGTGAGAGTTATATCAGTGGGGCTGGGGCGTTGCTTATTGGCCACCCAGCTGCCATTTTAGGTGATGGTGAATTTGGTTTATAACCATGCTGAAACAGTTTGTTTGTTACTATCATTCATTTTACAGCTTTTAGTATAATTATTTGAGTGAGTAGAATTTACTTTCCAATGATGGAATATCTCAGATCAAATCACTGTTTGTAAACATCTGTTCATTTCTGCGGCTTGAATAGAGAATTAAAAAAAACTTGAGAGATTCAGCATGTGCACCTCGGGGAGACAACATGGTTTCACTTTTTATTATTTCAAGATGGCGTAGGACTTTCAGAGGGTGCAGTGGATGAGGAGAAATTGGAGTGCGACCTGTTAGTCTTTAGGAAACGCTGTGCTATTCTTCATCCATTGTTAGTGTTACATAAAGTCACATGAATGTTTAGTTTTCCTCTTGTCCAAATCCTCCTGCATCAACAGAAAACCATGCCAGGCTCTCATGTGTAGCACAATCCTCATATGACGGTGTCTCACAATCTCAGTGAGATAAAATTGCTTCAAGTTGGTTTGTGATCTGCAAACAGAAAAAGTCAAACAAAACAAAAGACGTCATCAGTTTTGTTTACCGTCAGGCCTGCATTGTGAAATCCTCTATGAGTTCCCAGTTTCTGTAAACAGCTACACGATGTATACAGATTTGTTTTATTACCTCCATCAAAGAGGTTTGTTTTTCACCCCAGTTCGTTTGTGTGTTTGTTGGTTGGTTTGATAAAACGTTGTGGACGGATGTGACAGAGGTCAGGGAAGAACACATTTTAACCTAAACTGTCCCTAAACCAGAGAAAATAAATTCCTGGATCTCCACAATTTACTGGCTTCTTCCTTGTATCACGACCCAGCTTTCCACAAAATGTAAATGTGAATCAGCTCAGTAGTTTTTGAGTAACCCTGCTGTCAGACAAACAAACAGCAACGAAAACAGAATCATAACTTACTTTACTGTTAAAAGAATCAACTTCAGATGATCACTTACCCGTGCTGTGTCTCTACTGCCCCACAGTGGCCAGAAATCAATCATTGCAGTTTTAAAGATGGATATTCTAGTTTGTAATTCAATGTCAAAAGAGACACATGACAAAGTCTAACTGGGTATATGTCCATTCCTGTTTTGTTTCTGCCTTTCTCCAGGGCCCGCCTGGACCACCGGGACCCCCAGGCCCTTCAGGGGAAAAGGTAAATACTTTGCTATTGTACTCAAGTAGATTTTAACATAAATATTTATGTTTCATACCTTCCATTTTCAAAACGGGCTCAATACTTGTGTTATCAATTTTTGGGGTTTTGCATCAATGAGCGCCGCCCTCCCAACATCAAGACAGATTTTTTTACCTAAATGGATGGGGCAATAGAACACAGACAGACAAGAGAGGAAGACTCGGCCGTGGAGAAGAGGAACAGCACATATGTTGTGACAAAGAGCAACAACATGGAAGAAAGTGATTAATCAGCCAACATCACTGATCTTTTCAACAACATCAACAACGAAGCAGAGCAGCAATACATTCCCATCACTGTTCAGTTGTTTTTTTATGTAAGGTTTTAGTTGAATAGTCTTTGAACTATATTAATAGGACAGTTATTTTAAACAGATGCAGCCTTTGATACTTTGGAATACATTTCAGAAGCTATACTTTTATACTTTTACTTGAGTGAAGAAGTTACATCAGTACTTTAACTTAAATAGTTTTTCAGGATCTCTGCTTGTACTTAAGTAAAGAATGTGTACACTTTTTGACACCTCTGCACTGAACAACCATGATGAAAATCAAGGATGCTAACCATGATGTTAGGTAGCTTTATTACGCAGCAGTTTTCATCGGGTGAGTGAATCTGTCCTGTCCTTGTCTTCTTCCAGGGTGAGCTCGGGTTACCTGGTCTAGCAGGAGTTGATGGGGAAAAGGTAAAGTTGCAGAGAGGCAGAAATTACCCACAGAATTATTAAAAATTAACAGCATTTAAAAATAATTATGGAAGATGTGTGGATTTGAGAAGTTTTGTATGACTCCTCATTTTGCTTAACATGAGATTCATTCTTAATTCATCACCTTCAGGGACATAAAGGTGACACAGGTGTGACAGGACCCCCTGGCGAGAGAGGGGAGAAGGGGGAGATGGGTCTCTCTGGGCCTGCTGTGAGTTGTGACAGTACACATGTCTCTGATACACAAACAGTGACACACACATAAACAGCCAGAGATTAATTTTGCTCTTTGTGGTTCAGGGTATGGATGGACACAAAGGAGAGAAAGGCGACTGCAGACTGGACGACAACCTGGTCAGTGAAACACACATGAACACACATTAGTTCATCACAGACTTGTGTGGCCACAGACAGTCGTCACCCTATAATGATGTGCTGTTGCTCAGTAAAATTCCGTGGTGTTGCTTTAAACTTTGCTAACATTAGCTTCCTGTTTGACTCTTGTGATTTCCATGATATTCAGGTTCAGATGATATCCCAACCAGGCCCACCTGGTCCACCTGGCCCACCAGGAGTCCCTGGGTCCTCTGGATCCATGGTGAGTACTTCCAGTGTATTACCATCCCACTCCTGGTCTGCTGCTCACATTTGTTATTTGCACCAATAGTCATCTGGCACTCACAGCAAACAATGCTTTTCAGGGGCTGCACGGGATGCCTGGTCCTAAGGTAAGACTGCACCACCATGTTTCTCATACAGTCTGTTTGTGGTGGAGGCTGTGACATGTGTTGACTCAGTCCCTGTGCTCTCATGCAGGGTGAGCCTGGAGTCGGGATGAGGGGAGAGAAGGGGGAAGCTGGTTCATCTGGACCCAGGGTAAGTGCTACTGGCCATTAATTATCATATGATAGTAAAACACAAGATATGCAAACATGATGTAGTGATGATGATGTTCTTTAACTACAGGGACACGATGGCCTCCAGGGTCTGCCTGGATCTGCAGGGTTAGTGGGTCTTCCAGGTGCAAAGGGAGAAAAAGTAAGAAGATGATCGCCTCCACAAATGTCTTTACTACATTTCCATTTTGAGTGTGCAGTTATTGAATGTAATATTGAGATACACATGTGAATGTGTGTTTGCAGGGCAGACCAGGGGAGCCTGGACTAGATGTGAGTGTTCTCAATGAGAAGATCATTTTTATTGAATTCCTTGAATTTTTAACATCATCTTTAACCTGTATCCTGTGATAAGCAAAGTTCTGATGCCTTTGTTCTTCTATGTCCAGGGTTTCCCAGGTACGATGGGTGACAAAGGTGACCGAGGAGAAAGAGGAGAGAAGGTTGGTACATAATTAGTTTGTCTTGATTCCTCTAGTTCATTGCATCTTGTCTAGAATCAACCGCACTACTTTTATAAACAGTCTATGGTGCAGAGTGAAGTGAGAAAACTTTGTGTTCATCTTACCTGGTTTATCTGAAATGAATGTTTTATAGTTTTCATAAAATGAAACTGAATTTGTTTTATTACTGTTCACGTGTGACGTTCATATAATAATCTGAATGATTTACTTTGCTGGAGTTTGCTGTGTCTGTGTGTTTCTAACTGTCTTCTCTGTGTCCAGGGGGACAGGGGGACAGTAGGAAAAAGAGGTCTAAAGGGCCAGAAGGGAGAGCAGGGTCCTCCAGGCTTGGACCAGCCTTGTCCTGTGGTATGTCACATGCTGCAAAATGCTGCTCATTTAAGTTGATTTCCTTCTCTCCACTTTCCTCTCACATTTTCAGTATTTCCCTGGTTTCTGCTCTCAGCACTGTTTCTGTGATTTCCTGTGCTTTCCTCTGAGTTTCTTCCTCAATGCTGTGAATGTGTAACTGGCTCTTGCTGACAGGGCTGTGATGAGACTAAAGGTGTGTCTGTGGAGGCAGAGCTTTCTTCCCCTCCAGTTCCTCCTCTTCCTCCTTCCGGCCCTGAGGCCCCCTGTCCTGTGGTACAGTACATCCTCTCTCCTTTCTGATCACTATCACCTCCAGCTGCTCTTTTCCAGCCAAACACTATTTTTTTTCTCTCAAACTCTTTTATGCATGTGCTCTCAGTCGCCATTCATACTTCATGTAGGCCTATGTCACTGCAAAGAGAAGTATATACAGATAATATACAGTATTGTGTTTGCCATGTGACCTTAGAGGTAAGAGCACACAGGCATTATCATAGTCTTCATTGATATTTAAATCAGCAGCCTGCAGAACAGCAAGGACCCCGTTCAGATCTGGTGTAAACATCTGTCCAGAGTCATCACAAGTGGTTAACACTAAGTTTAGATCTGAACACGCTGTGTCCTGAGAACCGGTCACTCATATGAGGGTGGTCTCGGACACATGCGGCCACTTTCTTTTCACTGTGTGAACTAGAATCTGGATCAGTCTTTTTGCATATAGAGGGGGGTGTGAGAACCGATCAGAAGTGGTCATGGATGACACATTAAGGATGCATTTTAATCCTGGGTTGGAACAGATGAACAACACTGACCACTTGTGACCGATCTTTCAAGACGGATGTTAATCCCAGGTCCGGACTAAATGTGTTTAAGGATGCATCACTTGACAGGTTCTGGCTTTTTTAATGTTTTATAATGCTGCTGTTCTTACCCTGCAGGGACATGATGGGATGCCAATACCAGGCTGCTGGCACAAGGTGAGTGTTTAAAAAAAAAAAAGAAGCATATTGTGAACTAATGAAGCGATTGGCTTCTGATGAAGCAAAAGAATATGCACGGTAGAGGATTGCTAACAGTCAAGTCATACTTATTATTGTTACTCGTGGCTTGTCAGCATTTAATTCATTGCTTGACTCTGATTTGTCACAGGGGCATTTTGTAAGTATATTACAATGTGTGAGTTCTGTAACTGTGATGCATGATTACGGTTTTCTTGCTGACTGCATCACAAATTGCTTATGTTGCGTTTTGGTTTGATCCACTAATAATAAACACTTCCTGTCCTTCCTTTGCAGTGATGACTAACCAGCAGCACTGAATCTGTACATATTGATCTGGTATATATTGCAACTGAATACTACAACAAACAACCCACCCCCCTTTTTTTATAAAAACTTTTATATAATATATTGAGATTTTTTTAACATGGACATTTTTGAGTCCACAGTATTATGAAAACATGTTTTTTAAACTAGAGATCCAGTGTGGTTGAGAATGCAGCAGTGCTTTTGAAGACAAGGAGCTGAACAGTGGGACTCTTACTTTGAAGGACAGTCCAGCTGAACATGTTGGAGTGAAGAGTGCCTTACTAACACAGTCTGCCTTGCTGCCTGACAGTAAACGTTGCTTGGGAATGACAGCGTGTGCACTCGCCCAGTCGCAAGGATGGATGGACAGATCTCTTGGCAGACGGGGGAGTGGGGTCAGTACTCTCTTCTGCTCTCTTTTTTCTCTGAAAGGAGGAAATGGCGAGGCAGAAGCTCAAACGCAAGCGTCTCTCTCAGCCCTGAGGGGGTGCAGGGCCTGGTGGAGAAAGGACACATTGACAGGCAGAGAGCACGAGGGGCAGATTGGCCTTTATGCAGCACCGGAGCCATGCAAGGCCTCCGTGTCACACCGAACACTCAGACCCTCCGTTATGGAAACCCCTTCAGGAGGGGGGCAACAGAGAACACTGCGATTCCACATCCACCTGGGTAGAGAAGACGCACACGGACTGATAGCTTGATAACCAGTTGGTTTGGGGGTTCAATGATGTCACTGGCACATAAGGAGGAATTTACTGCACAGATACATTGAACATGATGGTGATCTCCTGTATGGCTCTTTTGTAAAGCTTTTGCATGATCATAATTCAGAAAGCTTGTATGATGTGTGACATCAGGTGACGGTAGATTCATTTTCATTTGCAACAAGCAGTCTGTAATAGTCTTTCCATTTGAACAAGCCACTCAGAGGAGTCAGTAAGTCAACTTTTTTTACGGCTTACACTTAACAGCAGTGGTGACTCGCGCGTTGTTTTGTTTTATTCCGTTATACTCTTATCTGATTTTGTCCAGTTACATTTTGCATTCCTGTGCACTGGCATGTTTGCGGAATAAATAAATGAGTGAAACTTCAAGACCGGATTTGAAGGAACCAGTCACAGTATTCATGTTATTTCAGTGTTTCAACCAGGGAGCCAATCAGCTCCAACATTAGACTGTTTCTGTTTTAGCTGCCTTAACAAACGGTTGCCGATCAGATTCTTCTCTTAATGATTTCCAGCGTGAATGATCATTATCTTTTAATCATTGATGAAGACATGTTTAATTACTTTTGCCAGTTTTACTGTTGTAACTTCTTGCTGCTGACTTAAATGTGTGTTTTTTTCTGTTTGATATTTTTGAACCAATATTAGTCATTTGAAGGACTAACAGACTTTAAGTATGACATTTAAAACAGATGTATACACAACCATATTTTTTATGGCAAATATTCATTTTAAATCAGCAATAGACAGCTTTAATCTTTGAAAAACATGTTCTTAGCTGGAATTATTTCTTTGTGCTGTTTAAAACTCTGCATACACATACAATCTAGGGTTGGCAAAGTCACAAACGTACACAGACCCATGCTTCAGTTTTCAAATAACCTGTATAAGACTTCATTAACTATTTTCTAATATTTGGCTGCATGTATACAATACAGAGATTACATGAAATCATTATTTGGTTCTGTTTACATGTGTAGAAATACATTTAGTTTTTGGGGAAATTGTATTTTCTTCTTCAGCGTCATATATTTACTCTGCATTGGTATTAGTTGCACTTTCTGATACAATATGAATAATATCAAGCAATCCTCTTTTTTTAAGGCAGGATACATGTTCAGGTTAATCACTAGTCTTACTGACTGGTTATTAAGGAGAGGAACACAAATGTATCGGTGATGTGTGAATGAATTAAAATTTAACCTGTAAGTCCAACAAGGTAAATTTGTTAAAAGGGCAATTTAGTAGGGGAATGACAGTGTTGGCTCAGTGCTGAATCCAGTACAGACAGTGCATTGGTAATCTTGGTCAATAGAAATATTGAGTAGCTGAAGTGTAAGCTGGCTCACGTCACGTTGTCACTCTTCCCTGACATTACAATGTGCAACATCTGTGATCAGCTTTATTTTTGCAAAGAGCCATTTAACTGCAAAGTTGCATTACTGACATCACACACAAAAAGTTCCATATCGGTGGAATAAACTCAATGTTTTTGTTTGTTTTTTTACTTCAGAAATGTTTTGTAAGAAAGATCAGTGCATCGTATATTAAACTTATACAATGCACCTATTGTGAGAGGTATTCTAGGGATGTTTTCCATGAAACAAAATTCTGTAAATGAGGTGCAGTACCATAAGCTATGACAGAATAGCTGAAACACAAACTTCATTTGAGTAACATGTTGAATGAGATTTAACTGCAAATTGTGCAGGTCTTGGCATTATTTTCCTGGAAGCTGATGGTTATCTGTCACTTATCTTTTTATTTCTTTTGCAGATTCTATCAGTTGCAGGTTCAAGGCTTAATGACATCAATAGATGGCAAAAATATCTAACTATTCAGTTTGGTGTTTTAGCAAATCATATATTACAGTATTAGCTTGACTTTTTGAGAATGTTTCTTTTTTGGTTGTGTATTTGGTTGTAAAAGAATTAAGCTATTTTTGTAATTACTTGTCTAAATATGTATAACTTGAGAACTGGTTAACTAAACATGTAGAATGAAATAAACTGGTTTTATGGTTTCTTGTCCATTAAATCATAAATAATCATGTACAATTATTTTTGTTTAAAATTTTGTTTAAACCATTAAAAGGAAAATTACAGTCCAAAGTAAAGATCTTTGTTGTGTGTGATAAATCATGAGTATTTAAGGCTTATTTAAAAATTCAACCTGGGATGATGTCAGAGGGAAAGTCAGCAGACTTTATCCTCTGCAGACTCTATATTCTACGTCTGGGTCAATGCTTTTGTCAGATTATCTGCACAGAAGAGGGCAAGTGTTTGGGTTGCACTTGCAAACCTTTATAAAACCAGCAGGGAGCGCTGAAGTACCTTTAATGAAATCAGTGACTTCCTGGATGGAGATGCTGAGGTGATCGTTGACGTCACAGATTTGTTGGATGGTATTTGAACCATTTTTCAGTCTTGATAGCTGCTCCCAAAATTTGAAGAATAATCATACAATGTACTGCTCATAAATGATAGAGTTTATTGGATTGTTACAGGGAAGTACTAATTTATAGAAGTACTCATATCAGTACAAAACATGAAAACACAATATTGTTTTTTTGAACCTGTTGTAACCCAACACAGAGGCACATATAAAACCATTACGACACACATAAGCCTATCTCAGGTACTGACTGTATCCCTAATCACAGTATTTCTATTTTTATACTCAGTCTTGTGATCCAAGCAAATGAAAGAGGGTTACAGCAGCTTTAATTGTGAAAAACAGTACGTCGAGCAGTAGCACAGAAACAAATCATGGTACAAAAGCAACTTCATGGCATCAGATAGAATAATTTTAAATCACCCATTTACCTCCATATTCTGTCAGTCATCTAAATGTAAAAAGTAAAAATAAGTAAAATTAGTTTTTATGACAGTTTTATACAATTTAAAGAGAAAATGAACACTACCCTTTGTTAACATGTGTTCTGACCAGGCTTTGGAACCTTCATTAAGGCAACTGTCAGGTTTTACATTTTTAATGTAAATTATCATTAGCTACACAAAAAACATGTTAGCCCAACTGCTAAAAATCGTATGCTAAACTAAAATTGTATGTTAAATACAATTCAATAGAGTTAGCATTTAAATGATATCGTTAAAATGACAGCACACAGTTGGAGTAACTTCATGGCTGATAATGTTTTGGCTAAAAACATGAACTTAGGCCTGGGCACTAAAATAATATTAAGGCAAATTAATTATCATCAATCAACAACAACAGATCTGGATGGATGGATGGATGGATTTTGCTAAATCAGATTCACATTTGTAAAATGTGTTTGCTCATAAAGAAGAGTTTAAAACCTCAACTATCACTCAGAAAAATCAGTCTGTGAACATCAAAGGAATTATAATGTGACACGAATCGTGATAATTATCGATATATCGACTGATATCATTTATTTATCTTAACACAATGTTCGGCCTGTAGCCCTCAATGAAACATAATCAAATCGTCTGTATGAGCACGTGCACACCTACCGTGTACCCCCACCTGCTGCAGACCCCTGCCCACCTCTCCGTCGTGACTTTGATGTCCCCTCATGTTAACGGTGTTATCTAATAAACGAAAGCAAACACACACACACACACACACATACACACACACACACACACACACACACACACAGTCTGCCTCTCAACTCCTCCCTCCGCCCTGCCTCTGATTTTTTTTAATCTGATCCATGTTGTTGTTTCACTCGAGCAAATTTAGTTGCAGGAACATTTGGGACTGTCTCCCTCGTCCTCGCGCTCCACGGCTGCGGCGCCAGTACGTTGTCTCCTATTTTAAAAATATAAAATAAAACATGGCTGGATCTGATTCTTTCTGACTGATTGTTCTTCCTGTGCCTCCACTCACAGGTGATCCTTGTATATCAGAGCAACGAGGCGTCCTTTTGTCGGGAAACCAACATTTGAACCGAGATCCCGGGGAGAAGACGCGACACGCAGGTAAGAGACTGAGCTCGTCTGGCGCAGAGATATTATCGCTTCCTGACGCGTTTAACCAAAGATAATCTGTGAGTCTCAGATTGAATCCATGTTCATGTTAAACACGTCCTCCAGTCCTCCTGTTGCGCAGACGCTCAAACCGCCCTTGTTATTATTCTGGAATACGGGCGTAACTGTGGTGTAGCACAGACACAACAGTCACAACAGTGGACATGCTGAGGACATGCTGAGGACATGCTGGTGTCTCTGTATGGATTCATATACATCTGTTAACAGCTGCCACGTTGTAGTCTGGGTCTGTACGTGAGGTTTGATTCTATCAGTGTTTTCACTACAAGGGTTTTCTGAGTCACTCACTGTATCATTGAGTTTAAAGCTGTTAAAGGTTCAGTGTGTAAGAATCTGTTGGTAAAGGTTGGATATAAAATTATTAGTGTGTGATCATTTAAATTGTATGATCTGTTGTTTTCGTTACCCTTGAATGGGCCCTTTATGTTAAAATACTTTATATTTACATCAGGAGGGGGTCCTCTCTACAGGAGCCACCATGTTTTTTTACAGTAGCCCAGACTGGACAAACTAAACACCTTTTGAGTTTTTATGACAACTGAAGGTTTCCACATATTCTCTTCCGTGTTTGGAAGGAGAGGGTGAGGTGAGGGGTGTTCCGCTGCAACATGACACCTCACCACTAGATGTCACTAAATTCTACACACCGAAACTGTTATGATGAAGACTTGTTTTGAGATCATTTTTAGCTAATGCTAGTCAGGCTAGGTTAAGGAAATGTTAAGGTCAGGTTTAGATTAGGATAAAGGGTTAAGGTAAGGTTAAGGTCAGTTTTAGCTTAAGATTAGGTTTAGGTTAAGGTCAGGTTTAGGTTTGGTTAAGGTATAGGTAAGGTTTAGTTTAAGGTTATGGTTAGTCTCCAGCAAATGAATGTAAGTTAATGCAATTTCGTCAAGACACGTGTGTGTGTGTGTGTGTGTGTGTGTGTGTGTGTGTGTGTGTGTGTGTGTGTACTCCTTCTTATTTACCTCTTAAGGACCTTTTCCAAGATAAACACTGACCATGTCAGGACAAGGAGACCACAGTAGAAACCTGCTTCCAATGAAGCAAAACGTAATTTCTGAGGTCCTGGTTAAGATTTGGAGTAAGGTTGTGATTGTGGTAAGGTTAAGGTTGTGGTTGGTTATGGTTAAGGTTAGGGATAAGGTTTTTGTTTGGCTGTTCACAACGAATGGATGTCAATGCAAAGTCCCTCTAAGGATAGTTGCACAAATTTGTGTGTGTGTGTACGTGTGCAGGCAACATTCGTATTTGTGTCTGGTGTCACCTCAGGAGATTGAGCCTTGTCCTTGTTTACCTTACTGGGTCAGATGGGTCACACACACCAGCCACCATGGCAGACTGTGTTGTTGACACTACTTGCCTTCATACACTGTATGTGTATGTATTTCCATGCATATTGTATTGACATTATTTTGGTGTGAGTTAACGATACAGCCAGTCAGGACAAGTTCACACTCCCTTTAGGCTGTAGACTCTGCACCAGTCGAGCTAGTTTTTCTCTACAAATATAAACACAGATAAAATGAAACAGACACCCATGTTGGTCTTTCTGTAGTTGTGAGGACACTTGTTTACATAATGCCTTACCCCAGTTTATCCCAACACTAGCCTTGACCTTATTCTAACCTTATCCCTAAAAGCAAAATATGACCCTCAAACAGCCATTGGAACTTATGAGGACAGGCCAGACTCACAACAACAGCTAAACAAATGTTCTTCCACAAAATGGTAAAAACACACACACATGAACGCAGCAACAGTTCCCACATAACCTGTTTTCATTTCCAGTCTGACACAGACACACATTAACTGCTGGTGAAGCTTCATCTTTAATGGTACAAATAAAACAGTTTGTCAACAACGCAGCAGCGATAAACAGATCAAAAATATTCTGTAGTATTGGTTCAACTGTAAAATCTGCCCTGGTTGTATTGTATGATGGAACAGGCCTGTTGTGTGTTTACTTGAATGCTTTAGAGTTGTGGTGCTTTAATGAGCTGAAAGGATTATTGATATTTAACCTAATTACCCCCCCCCCCCTCCAGGCTGCTGCGTCTCACTTTAATTGTTATTCACAGTTCTTTCACCTTTTACTTTTTAATCAATCACCTGCGTATGGATGTTATCCTGTTTGGCACCTGAACGTGTCACTGCTCTCAAAAGAGTTGTCATTGTAGTGAAGTGTATAACTATGATGAAGAACTTCAGGATTTGTTATAAAACTACCTGTGATTTTAAAATTGTAATTCACCAGGCTGCTCGGAATGATGGAAACTCCAGATTAAAACAGTTCAATTGAATTTTCATCTGAAACTTCCATCAGTGCTCAAACTTAAACACTTTCAGCTTTTGAATTTTAAGTGTCACTTAAATATATAGTACTTTCAGTGTTTGTATTTAGAATAATATAAATATTCAACTATTTTTTGATATGAAAACTTAAATTTTAGTTAAAAAAAAACTAATTTCCTGAATTGAAATTCAATATATTTGGTTGTCTTTTTATTTTTATTTATAGTCATAATATGAATTCATAATAAAGTTTATTGTTCAAATCATTTCTTTGTCATTAAGGTTTAATAACAGCATTTTTTTATTGCCAAATTGTATTTTAAAAATATGTGTAAAACTGCCGATATATCGTTTTGGATATTTTTATTTATTAAAATCAGTCAGGCTCTTCAAAATTTCCAGCAAATTTGAGCTTTTAGCAAATAACAAACCAAATCCTGCACACTGTCGATACTCCCCTGCACAGGGGGAAATCTACGAGTAGAAATATAGGGTTTCTCCACAAGTGTTAATGTTATTCTCACTGACTACATGTGTGACACATTAAAGCTTTACAGATATAAAACTTTGTGTTAGCTGATAAGGTGGAGCAGCGCCGTCTGTTCAGGTGGCACCCGGCCTACACACACCAGCCATGACGCTGACGTCAGAGCTCTGGTGAAGGTTACTCTGTAGGTAGCTCTTTGGTGCACTGTGTTTGATGAGGGACGCAGTGCGCCGGAGTCAACAGCAGCCAGCCCCAACTGTCCTCCTTATACCCCCCATGTCCTGTTCCACCTACATGTTGACCCCCACCTGCTGACTGCTCTTCTCCCTGCAGACACCTGAAGACAGGCAGCCGCACAGTTACCGTTAAAACCAGGGCAGTTTATATTCAGCAGTCCACATCCCTGCATCTGATAGTTGATGCTGGGATAAGCTGTGACGTTCAGAAGTTCGGTAAGCAGAGAATATTTCTGTTCATAACGCTGAGTAGATCTTAAAATTACAGCTATAACAATTGATTCATTGATCTAAAGAACATTTATTTCATATTTAATTATTTTTCAGTTCAAACCTCTTCAATAGTGGGATTTGCTTGTTTTTATCATCAGTGATATTAGTTTTAATATCTTTTGATTTTATAATGACAAAAAAGGCAACTCACAGTCATCACAATTGCATCTTCTCACTTTTGTCATTTTATTGACAGAACAATGAATTCATTTATCAAGAAAATAGTGAGCAGATGATTGAATATTGAAAAAGAATTGATAGTTCTCCTGCGTATATCAGGGCTATAACAACCGATATCAAGTTAACATGCAACTGTTTTGGAAGTGGATTAAACAATTTAGCATCTATTTAAGCAAAAAAGATTAAAACGTCTTTCTCATATATCACAATAAACAGAATATATTGGGGTTTTAAATTTGAATCCATCTTCTTGAGCTGTATAGAGTTAAAAAAGTCAATTTCATGTCAATTTCCAACATTTTATAGACCAACAGATTAATCATTGAATCTAAAACCTAATCAGTATATAATCTTTTTTATGAAAATAATCATCACTTGCAGTCCCAGAATATCCTATCATGCTTTCCGTGCAGCCGGGCTAAAGATTATTTTCATGCTGTTTTATGAAAATAGTCTAATATGAATGAATATAGCCATTCATCAGTCTTTTTAGATATTTGTGGACTTGGGTGCAAATGCAGCCTTGAGCATGTAGCATCAAGCCATTTCTGCTTGAACAGAATTATTCATCAATATTTAGCTATAAGAACATTTCAGTGTTTCACTTCCAGGGCACTATCTTTTAAAAAAGGACTGCATAGCATCAAATGATTGTGAGTAGACATATTTTATTTTACCCATGTGACTGTTTCCGTACATTTCAAGGAACTGTGGCTGTTTGTTGGGATTCTTAAAAGTCTGTGACATCTCTGGTATGTTTTTTTTATTCTAAAACCCAAATGTTGGGTAACTATAGGTTGATATGTCGCATTTTGGAATGAAAGTCTGTATTTAAAAAAAGCTGAATTGTACTGTCAGATTTGCCCCTGGAGGTTATATTGGCCTACTGCTGAAACAGAGCAGATCAGTCCCAGGATGAACTTACACAGGGGAAGACCATCACAACTCTTTGTGCGTTTACTGCTTTTTGAAGATATGGATGTCAGTGTCAGGCCGTCGGTCTGTTGGTCTTCTGATGAAATAGCTCAGCAACTTTCAAATGGATTGCCATGGAAGTTTGCACAGACAATCATTGCCCTCAGACATTTAATCCTCATGACTTTCAGCACCATCTGACTTTTCATCTAGCACCAACAACAAGCCAGAGTTTGTACTTATCCTCTGAGATATTGATAGATGGGCACAAAATTCACAACATTCCTGGTTAACAAAATTACTTAAGAAGATTTCTGACTTTTCCTTTAGTGCTGATATGAAGTTGACTTTAGTTTTTTTTGTGGGTTAGGGTTATAGTTAAGTACCTTGATGAATACAGGTAAGATTGTTATAACATTTGGTACACGCATTCTTGGAACCCTTAGGATGAAGTGTAATAAGTCTGACCTCTCCTCCATAGTCATCATCGGGTCAAAATTCTCGACGAATAAATATGAAGGCATCCTATCAGCTTTTGCAACACTTTGCCTTTATGACTAAATTAGTTAAGCAACAACTTAAACTGAGTTGTTGAACATGGAAACGCTGAAACCTTCTAAACGTTAAAGCATGTTGGCATTTTGATGTTCAGCAGCTTTGGTCTGAATTTATTTGTGAGTCATCTGATCCATGATCATGTCCCACGTCCTCAAGTTCTGTGTTTGGACATAAAGTGGTTACGCCCACTTATGAGTAACTAATTAATAAAAACTTACTTGCTGTCTGAATATTAAATCCACTGGCTTTCAAACAGCTCTCACATGTCGCTCTGTCTTTTCATGAACAAACACAACCCCCAGGCTTCTCAATTATAATCCACATGTACTGTATATTTTGTCATAGCATGATTTCTCTATTTTTAAAAGTGCCCATTGTCTCCCAGTAGCCCAGATGGAGGCCAAAGACAAAGCTAACAAGGAAAGGCTTGGTTAAACAGTTGGTGAATTTGTTTGTATGGGGCTCAAACTCCTGGAAAACATGTGTTGGGGACAGATCGTCGCTGTGCATATTCAAAGGTACAGGGTGCAGCATAAACTGGAATGGCTTTGGAGGACAGCCAGTATTGCTGTGTAGCTTTCCAGGAATGGGTGCAATGGCAACTGTGCGCCATTTGGTGTCTGGTGTAGCGAGGGGAGGAAGCGGGGATTGTTGCTGAGGAGCATGTGGACAATGCAGGTTTGCATATTGCTGAGCTGCATCGTCAGGGTGCAGGCAAGCAGGAGCACTTGGTGCTGATGTGGACATGAATGCAGGACAGGCAGAGATGCAGGAGGAGTGCCCCCCCCCCCTCGAAAAGTTTCTATTGATCTGTAGATAGACGGCGAAGAGGGGGAGGAACAGACCAGCATAATGGTAAAGCCAGCAAAGCAGTAGCTGTACCTGCTCCTCTCTCATCCTCCCTTTTTTTTTGGGATGTTTCTTGTGTTTGAAGGTGGGTGTATCAGTCCCTCCCCCCTCATCTCTCCTTCACTCACTCCATTGCAGTGTGTTCCTACTGGGCTGTCTAGCTGCACGCTCTCATATACGCACACACACGCTCATTCCTAAACACCCCCCTCCCACCCTTCATCCGTCTGTGTCTGCCGCCATCAGACACAGAGAGTGATAATATCTGCTCCGACCCCCCCCCCCCCTTCTCCTCCTCCTATTTTCCGTACTCCTCCTCTCCTGCATCTTGGCTATTGATTATTCACTTGTGCGTTCATTTACCACAGCGTCTCATACAAGATAACCCTCCTTCCTCTTCCTCCTTCCTCTTTAATTTCTCTCATGTCTGTCATCTCTCATGTTTGGACTTGGCCTTCCTTAATCGTACTTTTTTTTATTAAGCCACATCACTGATTTATTATCTGTATTCAGTTACTGTCTGGACACGTCACTCTGCTCCCTCACTGCATGCGTCTCCCATGAATCACTGCTGTCACTCTGTCCTGGATTTTAAAAAGACACGACTTCCTCCACCTTGTCTGTGTAGAAGACAAAGCTCTTTGGAGTCAGCTCTGCGTTGTAGTACAGTTTGAATATTAACATGTAGCTCAGCCATGACTGTGCTGTACCAGTGGAAAAAAAACCTGGGAGGAACAAGGACGGGCTCTGTGGAGGGAGGAGCTGCTGTGGAAGCAGCCCTGTCATTGGTCGGTGACGTGTTCTGCCTGCCTGCAAAAGTCCGCCCGGTTGGCTGCTGCCCTGCATTGAGCACAGCAGTTGTGAAGAATTACCCCTTCTCCTCTCTGCCCAGTCTCTCTCTTTCCTGCCTCTTCCCCTCACATTAATGACTGGAAAATCATCGGTGTCGACCACGTGTGCCAGCCTGTGCCACCTCAAGGACACCACTGTTCACAGTATATTGCAGCAGGATTCATATGAAGTTAGTCGATTACTTTCTGCTCCGTGGAGCTCAGGGGAGTTGAAGTGACGTCTCTGTCCTGCCTGCAATCTCCCTCCATCCTCTCTCTTCCTCCCTCTTTCTATCTCTCTCTCTCTCTCTCTCTCTCTCTCTCTCTCTCTCGTATCACTTAATCAAGACGTAGCTTGCCCTTTGCTGTTCATTGCTGCCTCCCTCCCTCCCATATGCTCCGCTCCCCTATGTGTTTGTCCTCGCTTTATTCTCTTTGGCTCTGACGCGTCCACCCTCCTGCCTCTTGGTCCTCATCATCGTCCGCTTAAACAAGCTCCAAACAAGGTTGTGTCTTCACATTCAAATTTCTCTCCTCAACAGGCTGCATGTTTAGTTCTTTTGGATTAATGTTTGCCCTTCTGCTTTTGCAATCCACAGCAAGACAACAAGCAAGGACATGCAGAAGAGAGGTCAGTGAGGAGGATGACAACAGAGGAATAACGGACAGCGAAAGAGGGATGAGAAAGAGACTGAAGTAAGAGGAGGAAGTGGAACTCTGAAGGGCCTACTGCGAGGGGTTGTCTGCTGCTGTCTGACTTTGCTGGATGAGAGCAGGACGGGGCTCAGTGTGTGTTTGGCCTTGAATCGTGGCTATATTTCATCCTGACAGCCACAGTCATCCATCCCATGTTGCTGAGCTGCAGTCCCAACGTACCCTGAGCGGAGCCGCCACCTCGTCTCGTCAGTGCAGGGAAACCTTCCCTATACAAGGTTCTGCTTTTTTTTCGTTCCACAGTACATCTGCCTAAGGATAACTAGCACCACAGAGACTACCACAGCCTTGGCCATGTTGACGTGAATGTAACAGTGACTTACGGTGGGCGTCCTTAGAGTCAGACGAAGGCATAGATGCTCAGCAACATATCTAAGCATTCCAGAGTAATGTCCTCAGAGTAGTTTCTGTTTTTTCCTTTTTTTTGAGACAGAGCTGGCCTCTGCTCACGGTCAAGGCCCTCTATCTCGCCCCAGAGAAACCTCAGCTGCCACATTTCCCAGGAAGAACTAATAAACTCCCCCAAAATACTTTGAACGTACGGACTCGCTGCCTTTCTGTGCTACGGAAAAAACTGAATATTTTTGCTTCTCTTCCTCTCTGTCTCGCTGGGGATTCTTTTTCTTGCATGAACATTAGTCACCCTTGCACTCGTCAGATATTTTTCCATCCATCTGCCCCGACCACTGTTTAGTGTTTGTAAGCGTCTCTGATGGCTGTCAGCATGAGCATGGGACGGGACACCAAATGGCTGACTCTGGAAGTGTGTCGTGAGTTTCAGAGAGGCACCTGCTCAAGGTCTGACGCCGAGTGCAAGTTTGCCCACCCCTCCCGGAGCTGCCATGTGGAGAATGGTCGAGTCATCGCCTGCTTCGACTCACTGAAGGTAACAGTGTGACACACATTACGCTCATCATCTTACACTTATACATACATATTACATCATGTTTGTTTAGACATGTGTATTATGGTTTACGTCAGGTCAGTTGATGCCATCTGGTTCGGCAAAGTATTGTATAAATACTGAAGTTAAGGTGGTGCCCGCTTCTTCAACACATAAACAAACACCCACAGACGCACACAAAGGTTTCCTGTGGTTTCATAGTGGAGACGGTCTTTAGTTCAGGTCAAGTGGCTCAATTATGAAGAAACAGCATCCTCACTTCATGAGTGTGACGCTGGTTTAGGGCGTCATCCGCTAATTAAATTCTTCAATGAAAAAGATGCAGCACAATCAGTTTAACAATTTCCTGAGAGAAACTGTGCAAACTATCTCAGTTGGTCAGTTGATTTTCTCAGTTTGTCTGCCATATTGACAGTACTGATGGAGGATGACACACAGCAAAGGGTGGTGATACATGAGGTGTGTTACTCACCAAAATCAAGATTTTTTTCTAATAACATCAGCATATATATCCTGATGTTTTTTATCATTATTTTATGTCCTTGTCATTTTGTTGTGGCTTTTTAATATAGTAAAGTATGATCAACACATTTTTATTATCTTAACTATTTAAAATGTCAAATTTACCCCAAAGTGAATTGTGGATAGAATAGAGGAATACCAGCTAAAAATGGCATGTTTGAAGTGTAAAGCAGTATATTACAGCTAGGGGGGGTGCATTTAAAGGTTATACATATTCATTGTGACAAGATGTTGCAATAGCATCAGGTTCCGAGACCACACTAAACGCTTTGTCAGCTCCCAAGGTGTCCCATCCATGGTCAATAGGTGTTGGGACGCCCTCTGAAACCAGCCTCTAAACACACAATCAGAAGCTAGCAGCCAGTTAGCATGGCTAGCATCGTTAGGATTGTCACGTCATGCTGTGTGTAGAAGTTATTTTTGGTTTCACAGCAAAGTGTGACAGGTGTGTTTACAGTGTTTTAGTGCAGAACGGGCTAAAATCAATGTGTCTACTCCGGGTGACATTTATAGATCCACACTGGTCGGAGCTGGAGTCTTTAGACACGTATGAAGAGAAAAACCGTTTAACTGGGAGGGATTCACATGCACTCACAAGAACCAGCTCCCGGACAAAGAACAGAGAAGCTTGTATCACTTCACACAGATGTGTGACATCATTCTCTACAGAGGACGCCATTACACCACCATATCTGTGACATAAAATCATTTTTTACAGCTATTTTAGGGTTTAAAATCATATACATATATAAAACCTCTAAGACTGAATGTAAATTAAGTTTTCTTTAAAGTGGATTTTTTACATAGAAACAGGAAGGAGATGTTGGACGAGAGACCAGTACGACTGTCCTACACCACTAGGTTACCATGGCGCCCAATCAACGTACTTCATGTAATCATGTAAATCCAATACTCACATAAAGCAGGCCTACTCACTGATTTAAGCAATTAAATTAATGATAATAACAATAATAATAATAATAATATTAATACAACCACAGTTGCTTTTGTATAAATGGTAAAATCAATGAATAGCTCCTGACAATTTGTGTGTTCTATTATGTATTTGATTTTCCTCCATGAATTAACTAATGTTATTTCGAAAGCCCTCTCATTAGTTTAATGACTCTTATAATGCAGATATTTAGCAAATTTGTATTAGTTTAACTCTTTTGATAAACCTCATTTTTGCTTTCATTACATATAATTTAATACTCATCGTATTCATTTAGATATTAAATCAAACACATACGTCATAGGTGCTGTATGTCAGAATCCAGGATTCTGTGTCTACTGTATATTGTCATATTGCCCAACCCTAATTTAAACCAGGCACTTAAACAGTATTCTGTACATCAATACATCTGTACGTCTAAACACATATATTTGCGTTTGTCAGAAACACGTCCACGTTCTCTGTTATCAATACATTTATTATTCCCATTTGGCCGTCATGTAATCTCCTGCTCTGCTCCACCTCTGATGTGTGCTAGTCGGTCATCGCTGCAGCTGCTCTCCTGACTCTCATCCTCTCTCTTCCACCACAGAACCACAGTATTGTCACGACTCGTACAGATCAGAAAAGCTGACGCTCTGTCAAGTGATGTGATGCTGTACTGTTTTTTAGAAAAGCTTTGACTATAAATGGACATTTGTGCCAAAATCACGAATAGACTGTTGCTGTGTCAGGGTGTGTGTCTGGATGCACGTGTGTTTTTGCAAGAGGTTTTGTTAGAGCAGCTTTCCTGCAGCTAAAAAGTGAGACAGAGACAGGGGGCTCTCTGTCTGAGTGCAGCTGCTGTCTCCTGGTTTATTGAGTTAGAATTTATTATTCAGCCATTTTTCTGTATTATGTCCTCCAGAGCAGGAGGGAGCTGTGGAGAGAGAGCGCGAGAGAGGGAGAGAAAAAGAGAGGGGGCCTAGCAACAGCACAGGAGTGCGTACCCATTGGATAGTTTGATCTTCCTGAGTGGCACGGCTGTTTTTAGCACAGAGCAACAGCCTGGCTCTGTACTGGTTGTATTGATGGGAGGAAGAGGCGAGATGCTTTGTACCAAAGGCAGAACTACAAGCATTAAAGGACATGCTTGGCTGTCGGAAGCCGCGGGGTCATGTTGTTAGTTTGAGAAAGAACTGAAGTTGGTGACAGTTGAAGGTCAAAGCTGCCGTCTTTATCAGGAGCCGCAGCAGAGCTGTGGTGCCAGCACAGTGTGTCAGCAACCACCTCTTTACACCAGTGTTTCCGTCGTCATTGTTGTTCAGGATTACCCTCAGCTAACAGTTGTGTTTGGTCGACTGACTAGAAAAACAAAGAAGCACCACATGCTGTGCCGTGCACCACAGAGCCGCTCTACGGCATCACTCTGTCCCCTGCTGCCCACTAAAACGAGGATGTTTGTTAATTTCATGGAATATATCTGCTAATGGCCTCCCTCCTCCTCTTCACCGTCACTCCCATATCTGGTAACTCCAGCTCGGTCCGACCTGACCGCTGTCATTCCCTGTTGCTCCTCCATTAGCTCTGTGGTCGGTCTGAACCTGCTGCAGGGGAGGGAGGGGCAGCTCACCTCCCAGTTCTTTTTACGTTTAACTGGAGTCCTGCTGTCATCTCTTATGAATAGTGTCGACATCACATCTGTACAATATGTTGTAGATTTAAGAGTCGCTTTTGGATGATATCATGGTACCGGATGCAAGTAACGATTATTTCTGATATCGATTGATCTGCAGCAACTTAAATGTTTGGTCTGAAACATCCTCAGTTACTATCATCATGCATGACAAGAAAAAAAGAATATTCACATTTGAGGAGCTGGACCCAACACATTTTTTGAATTCTAACATTTACAAGAGTTTACTGATATGCTGGCAGCTCTAAGGCTACACATTTTTAGCACATTAGCATACTAGCATTTTATAAATTATTTGGCCTCACTTTTGGGGAGCAGTCATGTCGTCCATCTTAATAAAGAGTCTATGTGCTCTGAGGTGCTTTTATCTGTTTAGCATGTCAGCGTGCTAGCATTTCATAAATTGTACTAAACATAAAGCACACCTGATGATTTAGAGAGAGCCATTAGCTTTACAGGTATTTCCATATAAACCAAATTACTGAGCAAATTAAAAAGTGTTGAGATGCAACGTCTATAGATTTCTGTGCCAGATATCTTTGCAATTTGTCCAAAACTGAATATACATATTTCACAAAACAAAAAAGCAAAATGTCAGGTTTAATGATGGTGCAAGATGAAAACGGAGGGCCTCTCTGAGGAGCATGTCTGCATGTATAATATATGGAAATAATACAAAATACAAAAAAACGATAATGGTAATGGTTTAGATTTGTGCAGCGATCCTATATAACAATGTCCTATCTCTCTCTGCAACAACAACACAGTGTATTTACAAGGGCTTTCTCTGTGTTGTGTGGTGTGTTGCTATGGCTACCAAAAGGAGGATTCCAGACACAATACTCTCTTCAACTTCTTTTTATTGGCTTCTTTCTCTACCGCTGATTTTTTAGCTTTTATGAAGCTCTTCAATCTGAATCAATCTTTGTGTTGCCAGAGCACAAAAATTCGGTCTGTTATTTTGTCCGGCTTTTGTGTTTTGAAGCAAACACTGCGTAAGGTTCATCATTAGGCTCATTAAAAGGTACTTTTCTTTCCCTCTGAGCATTAGCAGCCTTGCTGGGCTCATGGGCCTCCACCCTTGTTACAGACTCATCCCTGAACGCTCAGCCCGCTGACGCAAAGCTTGCTCACATCTCGGGTGTAGGTGAGAGTGTTTGTGTGAGCCTATGTAGCATCCTGACCATTTTTCAAGCTGCTACATGTTGTATAACCTTTTGTCTGCTGTGTGATATGAGTCCCTCTTGGTTGCTGGTATTGGAGGCACGAGATTCACTTCGATCTCCTTGATGCTTAAACCTCTTTTATGCGTCCTCATCTCAGCATGACATCATCCATCAACGTCAGAGTCTCTGCACTATGACGTCAGTTTGTCTTCAGTTGTGCGCCATGCTCGTGTTGTGATCACATAATGCGAGATTTCTCGTGTTGTGGTCCGATGCAAAGGATGCAGCTGATTCTCAGTGGAGGTAGTTAAGTGGGTTAACAGCACATCCGCAGGGGCAGACAGCTGCTGTCGGCCCAGGGGTTTAATGCAGACTGCAGTTCTTCCTCTGAGCGCGTGTTGACCTGCAGTGTTCCTGCAGCACCATCTTCACCTTCCCCACAGACTCTGGCAGGGATGAAGGACACTGCTTTAACGCAGTCTAAGACAAAATGAATTGCTTTTAAATACACGGCTCGAAATTTGATTTAGGATTTGTCAAGAAGCCAAAAATTACAAGTAAAATGGGGCATGAAGAATTGTTTCAGAACAAAATGCTGTGCGGCAGTGACTGCTGGTGCAGGACAGTAAAGTACAGAAATACATAAATGTATTTATG